ACTCGAGTTATGGTCATTGTTGCACATTGAACCTATTATGAGTCACAGAGTTCCCAGGACTTTAGGGCTCAGAAGGTGGTGTCTCCTTTGGTCCTGGGCTTAGGGACGGGCCAACACCCAGCTTGGCTGAAGGGTCCTAATTTGCCTTCGGAGCAGAAGAGGGGCTTGCCCACCGCCAAGTCCTCTCCCCCTGCCCCCGCCAGATTCAAACAGTATAAGAGTATTTTTAGTAAAAGGTGAAAGTTTTGTTTTACAATGACTCCTTCCCCCTTCCTTATATCAGAAACTACCGTTAATTATTCCTGGTCCTTTTTCTCTGCATTACAGATATATCTAAGTATCATTTTACTAATACAGGTCCTACTATACATATTATTTTAAGATATTCAACTTTTGCTTAATAATATGTCCTCAGCCATGAGGCTGCAGATTATCTATTTGTGTGGATGGACAATTCGTCTACCATCCTCTCTGTTTTTAAGCATCTACATTTTTTGCTCTTATGAACATTTGTGTGTGTCTTCGTGCACATGTGTATTTCTGAGCATTCCATAGAAGAGGGATTCCTATGCCAAAGGATTTAAAGAGCCACAATTCACCCTTTACCGATCTCTTTACCTGATTTTATTTGTACTGATAAAAGTTACCATAAATTATAATGTAGACTTGTTTATTGTCTGTTTTCCCATTAAAATATAAGCTTCATGGAAACGGGTTTCTGAGCTGTCTGGTTCACCACTGTGCCCCCAAGTCTCAACTACATTAGTGTCTGGCACGCAATGGGACTCAGTATATATTGTTTAATGAAAGAATGGATGAAAAGACTTGTACATTTTCAATGTGATTGTTGTTTTCATCGCTAAGCAGTGTCCGACTCTTCGCCCCCCTATGGACTGTCACAAAGCAGCCGCCAGGCTCCTCTGTCCATTGGATTTCCCAGGCAAGAAAACTGGAGTGGGCTGCGATTTCCTCTTCCAAGGGGATCTCTCCGACCCAGGGATAGAACCCGCGTCTCTTGCGTCTCCCACATTGGCAGGCAGATTCTTTACCACTGAGCCACCTGGGAAGCCCATTTAATGTTGATAAATGTTGCAATTTATTTTCCAAAAGGCCGGCCAGTTTATACTCCACCAAGAGATGGGGAGACTGCTTCCTTTAAGCTGACTTTTCTCATCAAGCAGGGGAAAGGGGTTGCCTCCTCCTTTATACTGTTGCTATACAAGTTCTTCCCGGGCCCTGCCCAGCCTCTCACCATGAGAAGGTGGCAGCTGCTGGACTGCTTTGCGTTCTGTTTGTTCGCAGCGAGCATGCGCAGAGCTACAGACCTGGCAGCCTCCAGGGAGAGCGGGTGGAGGCGGGGCTGCAGCCCAAAGCACCGGCAGGAAGGGGTCTGGAAGCTGTCACAGCTGCTACAGGGGCAGCTGTGGGTGGATAGCGACAGCTGCTACACAACTGGAGGCAGAGGAGAAGATGTCGGGAGGGGAGGCCTTTGGGAGCCAAAAGGCGGGGCCAAGCATCCTTCAAAGGGGACTGTGTGTGCTCAGGAGGGGAGGTTGCCAGGTCCCGCCAGGCCCCTCCTCCCAGAGGGATCGGAGGTCCCTGAGTGCCCGGTCCTGCCAAACTCTGAGTCATTGACCTTTATTTTCAAAGGTCCTTCCCAGAAACTCAAAGTGATTCTTCCCTCCCAGAGGGATCTGGTGTGACTGTGAGTGTCTCATAGCTTCATTCTTGGTCTGGACCATCTCCTCCAGCCCCTTCTGCAGGTCACAGTGGCTCCCCAGCTTCTCCAGAGTTCTGTTCCTCGGAGCAGAAACAGCTCAGGGATCACAAGGGACCCTGCACCTCTTCAGTGTGCTGCCCTCGGGGGACCCCCCAGACCCAAGAGGGAAGGAGCAGTGCCTCCCCCGCTGCACCTCCACCTCGAACCCACAGGTCAGGAGACTGTCACCTGCACAACCGACCTGGTTTCTTCAACCTGTCTATACCTGCGGAAGGATGGTATAGACTTAGGTTGAAAGAGACTTAAGAGATTTAATGACCTAATGCAAGGCATGGATCTGGCCTGAATTCTGATTTGAGTAAACAACTCACAAAAGATAGTTCTGTGAACATTGCAGAAATTTTGAATAGGACAGGGTGTTAGACAGTAGTAAGGAATTATTGTTAATTTTGATGGATGTGACAAGGATATTAATAAGTAATAATTCTTATTTCTTTAGAGATGCAGACTAAAATGTTTAGGGGTAAAATGTATGTCAGTAGTTTGCTTTAAAATACTTAAGCATAAGTGTAGGTGAAGCAGCTACAGTAAAATGTTGATTATTATTACATGTAGGTGATGGGTATAAACCATTCTCTCAGTTTTTCTGCATGGTTAACCATTTTCATAATAAAATTTTTAAATAGAAAGAGAAGGGGGGAACAAGGAGGACGGGTAGGGGAAGGAAAAGGGGGAAAGTGTGTGGAGCTTAGCACATAGAGCCTGGGTCAACATTGGTCACTGACCACACAGAAGACCCAGCCAGAGAGCCTTAGACAGTGGTTCTGACACAAGAAAAGCCTTGGGATGAGCCTGCCTGTTTCTCTATGAGTCATGAGTAAGCACTTGAAATTTTTTTAACATAATTTTTATTTTTTAAATAATTTTATTTATTTATTTATTCACTTTTGGCTGTGCTGGGTCTTCATTGCTGTTCGGGCTTTTCTCTAGTTGCACAAGTGGGGGCTACTCTCTAGCTGAGGTGCTGGGTCTTCTCATTGCAGTGGCATCTCTCGTTGCAGAGCACAGGCTCTAGGGCACATGGGCTTCAGGAGCTGCAGTCCCAGTCTCCACAGCACAGGCTTAATTGTGGCGCATGGACTCAGCTGCTCCAAGGCACGTGAGGTCTTCTCAGATCAGGGATGGAACCCGAATCTCCTGCTTTGGCAGCAGGATTGTTTACTGCTGAGCCACCAGGAAAGCCCCAGCACTTAGAATTTGGAAGGGTCGGGGGGCCTCCACAATAGGCCTGGTTTCCAGAGCTACAGAGCTGGGTTAAGGCCTCATGTATTTCCAGTAGGGTTAGCCTTCTCCTGGGAACAGAGAGGGACTCCCCAATGTTTCAAAGCCTTGAAGCTTCCCACCCTAAGGATCAGAGGTCCTCATATTGACAGGCTGTTCCTGGTGCAGCCCTGCCTGGTGATGGCCTGCCTGGACTCTCAGAGCTGGTGCCCAGAGGGAATGGATCAAAGTCTATGACTTTATGGGCCTCGTTTTCCAGGAGCCCCAGCCAGGCACCTGATCTGAGACTGTGCTTTAAGAAGTAAGTGCCTTGATTCTGGGCAGGAAAGCTGAGGGCCTGGCTCAGCAGGCCCCGCAGGAAGCTGGAGCCCGCGCAGCAGTGCAGCCAAGCAGGAGCTAGCCCGTCTGTGTTTGCAAATATCAAGACAACATGGTCCTTCCCGGAAGTCAGAACCAACCCGTACGAGTGCAGGGAAGTCATCTGCAGATCCGATGGCAGGTGTGGGCTTACCAAGCTGGGTCTTCACAGGAATAGGGCATCCCTTATCAGGCCACCAGCTTCCAGCCATCCTGGAGGCAGGAGGAGGTGCAGTTCTGTTTGGGGGGCCTTGGCAGGGGATTTCTGATAGACTTTATTTTCTAGAGAAGCTTTAGATTCACAGGAAAATTGAGAGGAAGGTACAGAGTTCTCCTCTATTCTTGCCTCATACAGGCTTAGCCTCCCTGACCATCACCATCCCCCACTGGAGAGGAACATTTCTTACAATTGATGACACGTCATTAGAGTCCGTGGTCCATAGTTGACATCAGAGTTCACGCTTACATATTCTTCAGGTTTTGACAGATGTAAAATGACATCCACCTTATAGTATCAAACACAGTACTTCACTGCCCTAAACATCCTCTGTGCTCCACCTTTCATCACCCCCCAAATCCTGAGATCCTTTTACTATCTCTACAGCTTTGCCTTTTCCAAAATGTCATAGAATTGGAGTCATACAGTATGTGGCCTTTTCAGGGTGTCTTCTTTCGCTTGGTAATATGCTTTTTCTCCAGGTCCCTTCATAGTTTGATAGTTTACTTCTTTCTAGCGTTGAATAATAGCCCTTTGTCTGGATGTACCACAGTTTATGTATCCATTCACCTTGATTAAATCATTGGCCAGATGGATTATTGCGCTCAATCTCAAGCCCCTTACCCTTCCTCCAAGGTTGGGGGATGGGACAGAAAGTTCCAACCTTCTAATCACCTGATTGGTACTCCAGGCAACCAGCCCCCATCCTTAGATGGAGATCCAAAATTTACTTCATTAACATAACAAAAGACACATTTTTTCAGCTTTTTGCACTTATGAAATTCCAAGGGACTTAGGTGCCAGGCATGGTGAGGAAAACTAAATACATACCTATTTCTTATTATATTAATAAATCACAATATCACAGTCAAGACAGACTACCAATGGCTCCTAAGTCTCAACAAGTGTATCTCTCTATCACACAAAAAGCTGCTGGAGCTCTGGCCTATCTCCTGGACTCTGTCCTCCATGCAATGTCTTGCTGACCCAGGTAAACTTTCACCCTGCCATATCAACACACACTTGGCTGCACCAATGCTTGAGAGGGAAGAGGAGCACCAGAGAAGATGACTTTTCGGGGCCTTAGAAGTAGGACACACGTTCCTTGTGCTCATATTAATATTTCACAGGCAGAAATGCCACTTGGCCCTTCCTAACTGCGAGGGTGATGCAGAGTGTGGGATCCTATGGTCCCAGAGGAAAGGAGAAGCTCTGGAATGTACACATTGAGGACAAGTGTCCTTCCAGGGAGATAGAAGATGTGGAAGAAAGGAAGAAGGCGGAGGAGGCTGCTGTGCTGGAAGAAGAGCGATCACTTGAAAAATCTTTTCCAAATGTGAAGTTCTACTTTTCTATGATGCTTTAAGTGTTCTGAGAATGCTTTCAGTTGCTAAGTGCTTCTGTTTCCATGAGGTTCCATAGCTCCTGGCAGGTATACTCATAATTAAGGCAGTAATGCCCCCATGGCAGCCCCCAACAGGTCACTGGATGCTGGACTTCCAGATAAAGCATAGTGCTGTGGGTGATGCTGGCAAGAAGAGCCTGAGCTCAAGCCAGGGGAGGGGCTGGAGCTGCGAGCATTCAGACAAGTCCAGCGCAAGAAACAGCCTTCTCTTCAGGTCAGAGTGAAGCAGAGCAAGGACAGTTACCTCCTCCAGACAGAAAAAGAACGGATTCAATTCCATATCCCAGACCCGTTCCAGCCCATGATTCAGTGATTGTGGAGCAGGGTAGCAGCTGCTATGGTGCCAAGTGTCTAGATACCAATCTGATGCCAACCAAGGCATATTCCCTCTCAACTCCCACTGAGTCCCCCTACTCCTTCAGGCAGGGCACCCTCATAACTGCAGTGAGGGTACCGGACACCAGAAGAGTGAACATCCCATGCCGGGGGGCACCCTCCTCCTTGCAGCAGCAACCTAGAAGGAGACTCTGGCGAGCAAGAGAGATAGAGGTTGAGCCAATCAGCACAGGCTCCTGAGGTGGGCAGCCCCCACTGCCCTCTCCTCTTGAAAAGGAGGGCCACCCCCTGCCCAGCTCTCAACCCTGGAGGCTCCCAGGTGTGTCTGTTTCCCTGGCCTGCAGCTCTCCACTCTCTGAGTCCATTTTAGCAGAGACGTCACCATTAGGGGAGCACCCTGGAGAAGTCCCTAATGGGGTCAGAGCGCTGGCATGGAATACTGCTTCTTTCTTGTGGGGACAGATGGGATTGATGGCCATTGTTCCGAGGTTAAGTCATTGGGCACTTTGCTGAAAGATAAATTGCATATCTCCCCCGAGGGAGAATGAATCACGTCAATAATTCCCTTGCTTAAAGCTCATTTATTCAGGATCCTGCTCGAGGTTGTTTTTAAATAGATAGATTAGAGAACATTTTTTTTTTAAAAGACAAAAGGGCATAGTAATTGGGTTCCCCCTTGAATGGCAACCCACTCCAGTATTCTTGCCTGAAGAATTCCATGGACAGAGGAGCCTGGTGGGCTGCAGTCTATGGGGTCGCAAAGAGTCAGTCATGATTGAGCAACTTTCACTTGGCTTAGAAGTTTCATCCTCAGTTGAACTTAGTCATGTTCAACTCTTTGTGACCCCATGGACAGCAGTACACTAGGCTTCCCTGTCCTTCACTGTCTCCTGGAGATTGCTTAAACTCATGTCCATTGAGTTGGTGGTGCCATCCAACCATCTCATTCTCTGTCACCACCTTCTCCTCCTGCCCTCAGTCTTTCCCAACATCAGGGGCTAGGGCCCTCCTTGGTTTGTTCAGGCTGAAGCTTAGGGGCATCCTAGGGAGCAGGGAGGAGAGAGAAGATAGAAGGGGTGGGGGAGAGAAAGGGAAAGAGAAGGAGAGAAAGTGATAGAGTGAGCAGTAGCCTGCAGCCCTGCATCAGGTCTTCAGGCATCCAGTCAAGCCCTTCACCCAGCAAATGGGTACAGTGGTGGGGAAGATGCCCCTTTGGGTACAAGACGGTTGTTTGTGACAGAGCAGGGGATGAGCCCATTTTCTAAGGTTGCCCAGGGCTCCGTCCCAACAACCCTGCTGCTCCTTGCACGTTTCAGTGTTTTGCAGGCTGCCTGAGCCTCCACGTTGTAGGAGATCCACAAACCACACTCAAGAGAGGATGGACATGGGGACCACCGTCTGCATGCTTGGACCCAGGCATCAGGCTGAGGTTCTGAGATGCTGCTGTGAGTGCTGAGCCAGGAGTCCTCGGGTCCCCATCCCGCAGTCCTGGAGCCAGGACCACTCAGACACCCAGGAGGGCCCATGGGCATGGAGGAGGGTCCATCAGGGCACAACAACCTGGCCTCAGCAACAACAAGCCCTGCCTCCCACCCAGGAAGCTCAGGCCCCAGGCAGAAGCCCTGGCCTCCCCTGGCCTCAGTCCCACTAAGCCACACAAAAGACAGGGTGAGGGTTAGTGTGGCTAGACCTGCTGGGACTCCTCACCTGGCTGGTAAAAAGCTGCATCAACCATCACCTGGCTGGTAAAAAGCTGCATCAATGCAGCCAAATCTGTCATCACTTCCCGGGCATCTCAGAGGAGCAGGCCCTCAGATCTGATTAAGCTCATCCTCCCTTACCAGGGGCAGACACCTCCCTGTGGCTATGCTCCGGCAGGAGCCAAGCAGAGGAGAGGAAGTGTGTGTTTGTAGGGAAGCCTGGCCGGCTGCAAAGTGGAGCAGAGGGACAGAGCAAGACTGCCTTCTATGGCTGCAGCCCCAGGCCCTATGCCTAAATTCTTAAGTGTCTTTCATTTCCCAAAATGTGCAAGAAAATGGGCCATCCAAACCACCGCCTCCAAAGCACAGAACTGAGGGTTCCCAGGTGTCCTCAGCTTCAGGCTTGGGCAGCTCCTTCTCAAATGTCTCAAATAGTGTTCCCTTTACTCACCTCCTCTCCTCCCTCCCTGTCCTCCTCCTCAACCCCCACCCCCAGCCGCTCCCCCACACCTGGTCAGCTGTCCAAGGCAGCTTTAAACAGACTGTTCAGATCTCTAGGGCCCCAGGAACTGCCTTCAGCATGCAGATATAAGAGGAGCTGGAAATCAGTTCCACTGAGTTCTACTTAAAAGAGGAAGCTCACAGGACATAGAGTTTTCCAGCTGGAAGAAACCTGCTTGCTGACTTAGGTCAGACATATGGTGGGGTGGTCTCCTGACCACTGCGAGACCCCCCCAGGCCCACCACCCACCAGGCTCCTTACAGATGGCCCTGTTGGAAGAGCGTCCTTCCATGACCCCACACTGGGGACCAAGTCAGTACTCTGTCCAATACTGTATGAAGCCAAAATCCACAGGAGGCCCTGGCCCCAGGCCTTCACTTAGAAAGTCTCATTAGCCAGAAATTCAGCTGTGTCAGAAATGCAGGCTGGGCTGATCAGGAGACTGTCACAGGAAGGCCCTGCGGGCAGGTCTGAAGGCTCTATCCATCCAGGAGACTCCATTATTCCTCTGCAACAACTCAGCCCCACTAGGAGTAAAGCTCTGAGAGGGAGAATTCCCTCAGGAGGGGCCGGGAGGAACCCGAGGTCAGCTGGGCCTCTACACGGCCCGCCGCGGCCAGGCCTTTCCACAGACAGAGCTGCATGCCAGGGCGAGAGGCCCATTGCTGTTCCTCCTCTAATTACACAGTGAGAGCTAAAGTGCATGTCTGGCCCAGGAATCACGGCTTCGTCCAAAGCAGGTTGTCTGAGGACGTTACCTGTCTCAGGCAGCCGGGGCAGGATGCGGGCGGCAAGCTGACATGGCCAGAAAAGAGTCTGGGTGCGTTCCCAGTCCCACCACCAGCCCATCTGCTCGCAGCACCCCCACACCCACATGCCCCCATCTCCCCACTGCAGGGAGCTCGTGCCCACACCAGTCTCAGTTTCCCCCAAAACTCAGATTGTAAGGCCAGGCCTTCGTTCTGACTGCCAGAGCAAAATAACCATAGACTGGATGGCTAAGACAACAGACATTTTATTCCTCCCAGTTTTAGAGGCTGGGTGTCAGCACGGTCAGATTCTGCTAAGAAGCCTCTTCCTCGATGGCAGATGACCTGCTCACTGTGTCCTCACATGGCAGAGGGAGAGGCAGCTCCAGTCTCCACCTCGCCTTGTTGTTTTTCAGTAGCTCAGTCATATCCAACTCTTTGCAACCCCATGGACTACAGTACACCAGGCTTCCCTGTCCTTCACTGTCTCCTGGAGTTTGCTCAAACTCATGTCCATTGAGTCAGTGATGCCATCCAACCATCTCATTCTCTGCCACTACCTTCTCTTCTTGCCCTCAATCTTTCCTAACATCAGGGTCTTTTCCGGTGAGTCAGCTCTTCGCATCAGGTAGCCAAAGTATTGGAGCTTTAGCTTCAGCATCAATTCTTCCAATATTCAGGGTTGATTTCCTTTCCAATTGACTGATTTGATCTCTTTTGCTGTTCAAGGGACTCTCAAGAGTCTTCTCTAGCGCCACAATTCAAAAGTATCAATCCTTCGGTACTCAGCCTTGGACTTGTTGGACCCCATGGTCCAGCTCTCACATCCGTACGTGACTACTGGAAAACCACAGCTTTGATTATACGGATGTTTGTCAGCAAAGTGATGTCTCTGCTTTTTAATACATTGTCTAGGTTTGTCATAGCTTTACTTCCAAGCAGCAAGTGTCTTTTAATTTTGTGGATGCAGTCACTGTCTGCAGTGATTTTGGAGCCCAAGAAAATAAAATCTGCCGACACCGATCCTATCATGGGGGTCCTGACTTCATGACCTCATCTAAACCTAATGATCTCCCAAAGGCCCTGCTTCCAAATACCATCCCCCCAGGGAAGTAGAGCTTCAGCATATAACTTTGGGAGACACCTGAGGTCAGTCTACATCAACCTGTGGCTCTTTCTTCCCAAACACACATCTCTCTTCTGGACCTTTCTCCCAAGTGCCAGGCCCTCTGCTGTTCTGCCTGATGGAGGTAGGGAATCCAAAGTTAACACTAGGGTTACAGAAGGGGCAGGGACAGAGCAAGCCCAGATCCAGGGTCTGCCCCAGAGCAACACCTCTCCTGAAACTGGCCAAGTTGACGATCCCCTGCTGTACTTTCTGCCAGTCCCACCCTCTAACCATGTCCTGACAGCCTGTCCTTATGTGTCACATGCACAGCTTCATTTTTTGCTCTCATGGCGGGTAGCATGGTCCTCATAGATGGCACTCATACCTGATCGCAAGTGAGGAGGAGTATCCCTGGCCTCCCTCAGGAATAGATCTCACAGAGTTTGACTCCCTCTGCTTCTTGCTTGGCTAAGATCATGTGTGTGTGTGTGTGTGTGTGTGTGTGTGAGCACCTCACACTGGGCTTTGCCCCTGGAGGGTTTGCTTAGAATGACCGTCCATGTCCTCTCTGACTGCCGCTGCCACGTCCCCATCTTCCCAGGCCCTGGGAGAGGCAGGGACAGAAGCAGAACTGGTGGGTCCTTCGCCCTGAGCCCTTGGGAACCCCAACTAGTTTCTCTTCTGCATGAAGGCCAAGTTTCCACAGCCGGCTGGGGCTGGGGTGCTTGAAGCCTCTGACCCCTCATGAGTGAAATATTCCTCCCATCCCTGGGCTTGGAGTTCTCAAGAGAAAGTGCCAACAGACATGCCTCAAGCTGATGTGCACTTTGGTTTCTCCCTGGCTGTCTTCGGAAGGTGAGGGACCTAACAGAGAGGCCACAACAGCCCCAGAGAAGAATGAATGAGGTTGGAATCTGGGCTTGGTACCCAGGAAGGCAGGAGGCCTTTCAGGAATGTCAGGAGCCCAGTCCCTGGGCCTTGCTGGGAGTGGGGGGGAGGGATGGTGGGGAGGGTTGTGGTTTCTGCTTTTGCCAAGGCAGCAAGAGCCAAGAAGTTTAGTTCAGGGCCCTTCCCGTGGTGAGCCTGGCAGAGTGTCAGGGCCTCCCGTTTACCAGGACACACCCATGACCTTGGGAGCCAGAAAGAGCAGGGTGTAGTTCTGTGGGCCTCTGTGTCTGCCTTTTAAAAATAACAACTGCGGCCGCTGCTGACCCGTGTCCCTTAGAAGTCCCGCCCTGTCCCGTGAAGGGCAGGCCTCCTATCCCTCGAGGTTGTAGGGGCACCATTCCAGATCTGTTCTCAACTGAAGAAAAGCTCAAAGGCAGTGTGACAAGACAGTTGGATATACACGAGGACACAAATCACAGACAGGCACCCTTTACACACACACGGATCACAATTCAGTTTTCTTGAAAAAAAAAACAAACAAACCTTAACTAAATGGATCTCAAATGTGAAGGGCCACTAGCAATTTGAAAAACATTTTCTTTCACCTTTTTGGGATCGAGGCCAGGTTACACCATTCCCGGAGCACCAAGTTAGGGTCACATAAAGCTCTTTTTTCCCTTTTGATGTATTACTTTCCTTAAAAAGAAAGGAAATTAGATTAATGTACTCTTAACAAAAGAATGCTCTCTCTTTCCTCCAAAGTGGCTGGCTCCATTCTATTTAATATTTGGGGAAGTCAAATGGGCCAAATCTTCATGAAGACAGGAAAGGAAACGCTTCTCATTTCTAGCCTGGCCCAATAAATTACAGCGTGGAAGACAAGCAACGCTGCTGCCCGAAGGGACATTTCTGGGAATGTCCAAGACTGACCTTTCTAGGTTAGTTCTGGAGAGACATGAAAACTCCCAAAAGACTGACTTTTCATCACAATGAAAGGCCAAGGGCAGAATTAAGGGTCATCACAGGACAATGGGGTTTCATTGTCCCATAAAAGGATAACTCAAGACCTCTCAAAGGTGAGAGGTCACTTCGGGTTGGGATGTCTGGGTAAGACTTTATAGAGCAAATAAACAGGTGCACTGTTTGGATAGATCAAAAGAAGTGAGGAAAGCATTCCAGGAGAGGGGGCTGCCAGGAGCAAAGGCAAGGAGACCAGGACTCTTTGAAGGGTCCCCTGAGTTTGGAGTTCAATGAATGGACCAGTTGGACCAAAGTGACATTTGGGAGGAAATGACGGGAAGATCCCCTGGAGAAAGGAACAGCAACCCACTCCAGTATTCTTGCCTGAGAATTCCAAGGACTGAGAAGGCTGGTGGGCTATAGTCTATGGGGTTGCAAAGAGTCAGATACAACTGAGACACTAACTCTTTCACTTTCACTTTCAATGGAAGAAGAGGTATTGAACTCTATATCCACTCGGCAATGTGGGTGGAAAGGGACAAAAGAGATACAACTGACTAATATTCCAGGACAATAACTGTTAAGACATCAGCAGGTGACCCGAAGGGGACAAACTCATAAAACACTTTCACATACAAATCAAGCTGAAGAAGTTTTTCCATTAAGGTTCTGGGCAGCCCCAACACCAGCTTACAGCTGAGGCCTGCCTAGCTAGGGAGAAAGATGAGCATATTCTTAAATCATGCTCCTTTTTGTAATAGCACTAGATGACAATTTCTTATCTGTCTATTCAAAACTTTTATTGACAGTATGGAAATACAGCATCCACTTTTTTCATTTAACATTTTAAATGAGATTCTAGATCCTCAAAACTACCGTCATTGTACTTTTTAGTATGACAAATTCAATTTCAACCCTCCTACTAGATGGTGAGCTCCTCTGAACGCAGAAACTCTCATCTGTGTCTCCCAGACCATCCCCTAGACAGAGGCTGGCAGAGAGAACTAAATAGCTGCCCAATTTGTGGAATCAAATAATATTATCTTCATTAACACATTTGGCTCTGGTCATCATAAATGACTGAGTGTGCTTTGGGCGTTAAACTATAAAAAAGGATAGCCTTCATTTACCTTAAAAATAAACTCAAAAATGTGGAATCTAAAAAGAAATGATGTGAATGAACTTATTTACAAAACAGATTCTCAGACTTAGAGAAGGAACTTACAGTTACCAAAGGGGAAGGATGGTTGGGGGGAAGGGATAGTTATGAGTTTGGGATGGACACTGCTGTATTTAAAACGGACAACAAACAAGGACCTATTATATAAACAGGGAACTCTGCTCAATGTTATGTGGCAGCCTGGATGGGAGGGGAGCCATACATATACAGCCATACATGTATGCTGAGTCCCTTCGCTGTTCACCTGAAACTATCACAAGAGTGTTAATTACCTGTACGCCGATATAAAAATTAAAAGTTTAAAAATAAATTAATAAGCCTCACTGTCAGTCCCTCTAATCTGCAAACTATTTTTTTAAGAAAAGGCTAACTCTGGACTCTTCTACTGAAAATATGTTTAGCAAATCTTTGTGGCTGAAATGGGTAAATGCCTAGAGTCCATCAAATGGACTGCCTTCAGGCCATGTGACTGACACCAAGGACACAAGAATGCCTGTCATTCCTTCTGGAAACACCACCCTCCTGCAGACATGGAAAGTGCTTCTAGAAACCAGTGGCTAAACCTGCAACCCCCCAGCTAATCTTATAAAACATCCCTGTCACGGAGCAGGGTGGGGGGTGAGGGGGCTGTTCCCTGGAAAGTATACCCTGGGATGGAGACAGCATGTGGGAAGTTTCTTAGGGAGCACCTTCAAGATGCCCACATACGGAGAAGGAAGGAAACAGGACTGGATGGCGGGAGAAGCTGGGCTGACAGCAATCCCAGTAAGACATCAGCTGACACCATAGGGAACACGGAAGTTGGGGTGGCCTTAGAGCCGTCCCCAGATGAGGCAAGGGCCTGGCCTGTCTACCTTCACCCACTGATCAGCCGCTGGATATGGGCTGCACCCTAGAAGGGGCACAACCACGAGCAAGGAAGCTGCCTCCAGCAGAGGGCGAGTCCCAGAGAGGCTGTCCAACGCTGCACTCAGGGCAACTGGGGGTTAAGTCCCCCTGTCCTGGGGTGGGAGGTTTGGTGGAGCACAGCCTCCGTTATCTTCTTGAACGGTCTGTGCAGGTACCCAGGTGCACCTAGGACAGCCAGATGCTCAGAGACCAGACGGGGAGGCCTCAGAGTGCCTGGGGGATCTGACCACATCTTGACTCTGCCATACAATCTATCAGCTTACATTACTATCGAACTTGCTGAGTCTCAGTTTCTTCATCTGTAAAATGGGAGTAATAATACCTACCTACTAGGGTTTTCTTATGAGGATCACAGAAGTATAAGAAATGTTCTGGCACAGTACAACAAATGGTGCTGGTAACCAGTGACCACAGTAACTATTATTATTTTAGCAGCGTGGTGGCAAGGAGGATTCCCTGGTATTGGTATCAGATGCCCTCAGGTGGGAGTGCTGCCAAACTCTGGGTCTAGAGCCTCCAGGCATATGGACCACTGGGCTCTGGGAGGTCTGTGAGGGTGACTAGTCTCCCTGCAAAGGCATCAGCAGGGACAAAGGACCATACTGGGGAAGAGGTTTTGACTCTCCTTGCAGGCAGAGCACATGGCAGCCTCCGTGTGCCAGTTACCAACACGTGCGTGGGCCACGGGGGCAGGTGGGGCAGTCACCCTGCAGCCTGGGCAAGCCCCGTGCTGCTGGCCGGTCCAAGGCAGGTGACCACCTGACAGATTAGGAGTGTTCTCATTCACCATTTCCTCTTTC